TTTGATGTTTCACAGCAGGAAGGGCCATGTTCTAAATGCAGACTTTGGTGCTTAAAGACAGTTCCCGCGATCAAGTGGTCCGCGAAATGCCTCCGTGCATTTGGCATCGTTGTCCGCATTCGCAGAAAATATACCACTTTCGTCACTCGAAACGGCGAGATAAAGAAGCTAGAGACGCGTGATTATTGCAACCATTGCAACCACGATTACTTTCACTCTGCAAGACAACGGCTTACAAGCGGAATTGCGTGTGTACATAGCGTTGCCTGGAGCGTCGTAGGTGATTTCCTGTGCTCTTGCCGGGAATTAGTTGCACGCTGAATCTTGTTGATTGGGCTTGCTGACGTTTGCAGTTTTTTTTCTTTTATATGTGATTCCAAAACTAGGCACGAGTCCAAAAATACTTTCCCAGCGGTCGCCCAAATGCATGCGACCGCTGGGAAAGTGCACACGCTGGGACGTGTCAGGGAGCTGCGTTTGGCGCGGCGCCAACGAGTTTTCCACCACTTGCGATCAGCTGCCAGCTTCCACGGTTGGCGGAGAACGGGCTGGCTTCTGGCCAAACCAACCCCATCCCTTTCATACGCCCCAGTATCCGCAGCGAACAAGTTAGCAGAACACATCAACCGTCAGCTGCCGTACTAATTTGATTGCATCCGTATCGAAGCACTTGTTCTTCTTGGTTCCCATAGGATCGTAGAAGACGATCCCTTTGTCTTCCCTTCTTTGTCCTTCTACCATTTGTCTTGCGCCATCATGAGGTTCGCTATTTCTGTATAACCTCACCACCTTCTCTTATACCTGTCATGTCTCCCCGTCAACTTTTTATGGTCATTAGCGGCCTCACTAAAGGTGATTTTGTTCTCCATCAATACGGAGCTTCATAGCTGGTCATTAAACCCTCGGCGCCCCTTAAAACAGCACATATCCCGACTTTTTTTGATCATTAAAGCAATAAAAGGCTCTCCGGCGACGGCGACTCCAATCACAGTCCTTCCTTTTCTGTCGAACGAGGTGCCGAGCTTGTTCGGGGGCCGTTGTCTCTTTCCAAGGGTAGACAGTTGTCTAAGTGACAATTATTGCCATCATGATCCCCTGGGTCATGAGTCAAAATCTCATAAAAATTAAAAATAAGATCGCTCTCCTCCCATGGCCAGCTAGGCCTTTGCCGCTCTGTTTGCTCTTGGCATCCCCTTTCCGCCTTGCCACGGACGTTGCGCCTAGCATCGCAAAAGTTGTTCTTTTTTGCTTCTTCTTCTTCTCTTCAAGTCCCCTGATTCTTTCTGTTTTCTCAGGTGCCCTTCTAAGGCCAGCCTGGCACGATTAAATTTCCTAACATACGATAGGAATTTACTACGACGGCATGGCAGAAATCCGTGAGAATGAACAGACGACGTTGCGTAGCGGCCTTTTCCATGGAAGGGTATCCTTATTAGCGCCCTAATTGAGCAGCAACATAATGACGTACTGAACCGTTTCTGCTGGCTTTTTGGCAGCAGTAAACGCTCAATCGGTAGACTCGTCCGAAGCACCGCCGCCTAGCCTTCGCTCGTCCACTGCCGCAGTGCAGCGAAGAAATAAAGCCCTCATCTCGTGATTTCCACGACACATTGTCGGCACCATTTCCAACTAAATTTTAACTGTGCACCTTTGCTCTTTTTTCCAAGTGTAGCATGAAATTATCGGCGCCAACGTGCTTCTAAACTATTTTGTTATCGCCTTGGGATTAATATTTGGGAACTGCGCCTGTGAAGTAAATTTTGGCGCTGTTCCCCTTAGGGGTGTGTGAGCATTTACCTCTACTCACCAGAGCTTAGAGGTTTCCACAGAAGCATCGGCAATGAACGATGGAAACCAGCAAAATGCCCCCATCAACCCGACCTGCGCCCGAAACTTCAATAGAAGAATCTAAGGGAATACTATCCAACTTCTAGAAAATTCGTTCTGTTAATTGTTGTAATATTTTCGGTTCAGTTAAGGCAGTTGGCACGATAATTTGGCGCACGGTCTAAAATGCTAGCAGGGTGCTATATAGTGGGGAAATGGCGAAAAAACGAAGTGAAACGGTCAAAAACCTGCGAAGAAAAGCCTTCGTTCTTAATGACTCAAAAGCAATTTCGGACGAGTTTTCCGTAGGCATCTTGCCAATAATCGCTACGGTAGATACGGCTGCACATATGTACTCATATATCCATGCAGCACCGCGGCCGCTTCATGTCAATCCCTTCGCTTCATATTTTACTTCGCAAATGAAGCAATACGAGCATCAGGTACGGTCGTCCATTTGTGGGCGGGCGGGCGCGGTGGGCGTCCGGGTCGGTATGTTGCAGCTTGATAATGCCTTATAAGGGTACCTTCCTTGGAAAAGGCGCTGCGCAGCGCCTGCTCAGGGGCGCGGAATTCCGTCCTGCCAGGCGTATTAATCCCACTCCTCTTGGGGAATTATCGTGCCAACTGCCTTTAAGGTTTTTTTTGAGAATGTAAGCTCCATCCGTTCCATTTGAGCGACAGGCTTTCATCCCAGAGCAGTTTTGCAACCTTCCCAAATATAAATCTGCTTTCTCGCCATTATAGGCGTTCACACTACGACACAAGAAATCTCGACGCATAGCCATTTCCTTGTACCTCTCCTGCCTCATTTTAATGAACTTCATCCCATAAACGCGTCGTCATCAAGAAATCATCTCATTTCTCGGTGTTGAATGGCTGAAGGAGGAGCTGCTTATTCTCGTTTCTTTCACATTAGCCATTCTCTTTACCGGCTTGCTCTAATACCTTCAGCCGCCTTGGCGCCCTCGGTTGAAGCTTCCAGCGTTTAGTTCCGAATGACAGATTGTTCGCTCTTGAAGACACACTCCGCGCTCAAGCGATTCCTTGAAACTCCCCCTTGTCCAAGTGGTCTAGCCTGCTCACAAGTTGTGGCACTTCAGCGGCTCCACAGTGAGAGAAGGTGCTCATAAGTTTGAGGTGTCATACCCGTAGAAGGGATCTCACCCATCTGGGACGTTAGGGGGTGGGGGTTTCTCCACATAAGTGGTTCAGTTTCCGTTTCCCTGCGCTCACTCGTAGAATACTAAAACGAAGTGCTTTGCTCTCCCTGTGAACGTCAGTAATGAAAAGGCTGCCCAGACAGGGTACGCATCGTTCTGGGAAAAAACACAGGAGGTCGTGCGGTGTCTTTGGGAAGGGGGTCGTAATTTGGTCGTTGAGAGGGGGGGGGCGTTGGCTTCGAGAGAAATTGTTGCATTGGTTTTCCGGTTGTTGACTTTTTGCATTGATTTTTCCTGTTCAATGTGCAACTGTATAACTTTCCCCCTCCGCGCACGATGGGACGGGAAATTTTTTGAATTTTTGGGCGAAAAAACTGAAAATCGAGGACTTTGTAAGGTAGGGCGTTGGAAGGGGCGCGGGAAAAGAGACCCTCATTTAGGTGGGGGCCTTACCTACAATCACCACATACTGTACCCTTTGCACAGAGGCGAGGCCATGTCGATTTGCTGGCACGAAGCCAGCCATAATCGAAAAATTACGTCCAACCTAAAGAGCTTGCTAAGCGTTCGCGATCCTTTCTCTTCCTGCTTTCTTCCTAAGATAACCATATACTTTTGGTTTGACTTCCTCTTGTACGGTTACAATGTGGACGTTATGAAATGTGAATCTTTCCAGAGAGCAGGACTTCTTTTACCTGCTCACGAAATCGCTCTTTCTATCCATTCCAACGTAAGCAGTCGAAAGAGTTTGAAGAAGATGTCTGAATGATTTTCGAAATGAAACGAGCTGTTCCGCTAGTTTTGTCGCTGCTTGTCCAGGCCGTCAGGGGCGAACAGAAAACGAGCGTACGTTGCATTTTTGTTTACGTTATTTATTACTCAGTTTCTTTGTTTCCGATTTTCTTTTATTTTTGTAAATCTTTTCGTTTCTAGTTTGGCATGATTTACTCTTCACTGCCCTAGTTTCTGGACCTCGATGTTAGAACCCGATTTGGCTCTGTCCACAGGTCTCACCATTGGACATCAAAATTTCATCCATTTGGCACGTAAACGCATATGGCGCAATAATTTGGTACTCAGTCTGAGATGCTAGCGGGGGGGGGCTATACAGTGGGAAATCGACGAAAAAAGGAGTGAGTTGGTCAAAAACCTGCAAGAAAGCCTTTGTTCTACACGACTCAGAAAGCATTTTCGGACGAGTTTTCCGTCATTGCCAGTAACACCTACGGTAGATAGCGCTAAGTGTTGTCCTGTCCTTTGATGTTCCGACCTATGGCACGAGCGTACACTCAAGATCCCTGAGATGTGGTAGGCGTGGCTGCGCACCTGAGCTGAACGTGACGGCAGCTAAGCTTTCCCAGAGATATATTCATTTTGGGACAGTTGTAAGTCATGTTCTTGTCCTACTCAGAACAATTTACAGTTGTTTCTGAATCTGTTTCTGATCTGAAATATCCCACGAGTAACCTATCCTATGCCACGTTCAAATGCCACGCCTATTCCGTCTCCGTAATAAGGGGTGTAGGAAGGGAAAGGGGGGGGGAGGAGGAGGAGGGTCGAGCGAGTGTGATATTCGCATTAAAGGCCCATCGAGTCCACCATCTTCACACCAAAAATCCTCACATCTCGATTTGAAACGAAGAGGGTCCCATTCGGG